ATGGATATATGGTTGGTTTATGTGACTAGTATATTCAGAAATTGGTCTAATAGATTAAATTTAATAACAGAAGGAATGTACAGGGTAAGCAACCAAAAACTAGCAAAGCCTAACCTAGCCCAAAACAGTAATTGTTCTTAAAAGCAAGAAAAAACACACACACAAAAAAGATATACAGGAAGGGAAGAAGAACTCAACAACAGTACAGAGCTGCTCACACTTTGAGACCCACCCCCCTGCAAAAAAAACACAAAACAAACTAAGTCGGAAAAATGTTTCTTGAGCTTGAAATCATTTGTAATTCTACAAAAATTCAATGGAAATATCTGCAAGATCAATAACAACAATAACTAAGTATCCAATTAGGGGAGTTTCTGTCACCCAATAGCAGATGGGAAAGATTGGTGAGTTAGGAACAAAGTGAAATAAGTGCCTGTTGAGAGAAAGTTATTTTTCTAAGAGTGCTAATTCTAGTCTGAAACCTAAATAAATTGATGTACAGAAATCCTATGCCCCAGAATTACCGCATATTACTAAAAAAAATAGCTGTAAATATACCTGATATGGATAGATTACAGACATGATCTTCAATTCAGGTATTCTATTCAATTGTTAGGTTATGTTTAGGCATTGGAAAATAGGTTCAACTAGTCACAGACTAAGCAAAGAAAGCGAATAGTCTGCATTTCACAGCTCTTAGCTTAGAGTGACTAAGTATCAGATCTCCCATGGTGGCAAATTTCCACAATGTGAATCTAAATTGTATAGTGGTACTAGGACACAGGCAATCCTGATTCAATCAACTCAACTTTAATCAACTCAAATGTAAAGAATGTTTCTATACTGAAACAGTCATTGCTCCACAGTGCATCTTGTCTTCCATTGCTTCCAATGTCACTCCCATAACTCTGAAAGTGTAATCAGAGCAAATTCGGCTTCTTATATAGACATCATAAGCACTGTTTTGGTGCCAAGTATACTACGTTGCACATTGTTAGCATGTAAGTTTGGTACTTCGATTCTAGTATGTTTTCATAAGTATCAAGGCTGGATGAGAGTACTGTACTGTAGTCATTACAGACTGAAGCTCAAAGATCCAATAAGCCTGCCATCTGAGGTATTTGTTTAATCATTCAATACTGATACTTGGCAGGTGAGGATTACTGAGTAGATTAAGTACTCTACTCTTCCCACTGCAATGAATCAAGGCAGAGGAAACCTTCGCCTGCAGATTATTCCCAGTGTAACCAGGCAAATCATAGATCTCCTTTTCCCCAGTAAATGGCATGTTTGAGGCCTGATCAAAACTAAGACATAAATGCAGGATTTGGAACATGAAATATTCTGTGGTGTTTTGATACTCAACACCGTTTTTTACAGAATAAACATTAACTCTCTCTGCTAGGCAGCATCTTCCAGTGCCTAATCCCAAGAGGCTCATTAAGAGAGGTGGTGAGCTGGGGTTTAAGTTTCTTTGGCACACTCAGGCCCAAATGCTACATTTCCAGTGTTTATTAACTTCTCAACTACTTTTGTATTTTGGGATATGCTAGTTCTATAAATATATCCTCCCCATATTGTAGAATTAAAGAAGTTTAGAATATATTTGTCATGATAATCTCTCCTACTTTTAATTTGAAAATGAAGTTTATATACCACCTGGGTACTTTCTATTTTTATAGACTTGATTCAAATTACAGCTTAATCTTAACCTACAGAAACCAAGAGATTATTAATAAACCACAAGGAAAATATGAGAGGAAAACTGATACAAACTCAACTAAGATGCAAAAGAGAATTCAAATTTTACATTTTTTAAACCTGTAGCCAATCAGGCAAATAGAAAGTAAATAAATGAGTAAATTCAATAGTTAGAGAAAATTGAGGCCAAAAGAGTACTAAGACAATAGTTGTAACTAAAAAATCTGTTAATATATAATAAAAAAACAAGATGAGACATCTATGAGAAAAAGTTTTTAATTAAAAATATAGGTATAGGCTGGCCGAGTGGCTCAGTTGGTTAAGAGCTCGCTCAAGAGTTTGAGCTCTGAGTAATAGTAGTTCGATGCCCGGCCGGAGCTGAGCAGCCGCTGAGCTGCCAACAGGTGGCAGGATGGCTCAGCCTAAAAAAAAAAATATATATATATATATATATATATATATATATGTATAATTGGTTGCTAGATGGGAGGGGGGGGGGGATGAGGGTGAAGGGGAAGGGGTTAGACTGCATAAATTGGTAACTACAATATTGCCACAGGGATATGAAAGACAGTTTGGGGAATATAATCATTAATGTTGTAAATATTCTGTCAGGTGTCAGATGGACACGTCTTGTTAGGAAGACACTTCATGGACGGTGTAGAGGCCTGAACCACTGCACTGTACACCTAAAGCTGACGTTGAATAATATTGTATGTCAACTATAATTTAATATATACATAGTCACGGGATGTGGAGTATAGTGTGTGTGGGGGAATGGAGTCAATGGAATTGTAATAGATAAGTATGATGTTGGGGGTAGGGGGCAGTGGATTGGGAGATGGGGGTTATCACTCTGTGAGGGGTGAAAAGTATACCTATTGCATTGTTTTGTACACCTGAAACTAATTAAAAAATATACAGGTATAAGTGATTAGAAATGAAGGCATTTATTGGCGTAAAAAAATTACATGAGGCAGAGAGGAAAACTAATTCAACCTAAAAGAGAAGATACTAAAGCAGAAGTTAAGTATTGCTCGGATGGCCCCTTGCTTGGAGATTGGCAGGAGGCAGTGAAGGAAGCAGCAGTGGTTTTAGAAAGTGAACTCTACAGCTTCAGGTGGTGACAAAAATCATAGCTAAACTCTATCCAAAAATACAGTTCCATATTATGAATTTTAAGCTGTTTACATGTTTCTAATTATGTCACTAAATTTAAATATTATAAATCTTATTTTTAAAAACTTAAAATATTCAGTTCATGTTATACAAAATGTTTTATTTAATTTCAATATGTATTAATCAATATTGTGAACCAAAAATTTTCCAAAAGAAATCCTAGATTAAAATGGATACAGGAACAATAAACTTTGAAACTCCACTTTTGAAAGATGATTGTTATACACTTGCTTATTATACAGACAGGTAATTTATAAGTTTATAATTGGGAAATAATGAATTGAATTATATCTTGATCATAAAACTGTACATATCTATTTTTAATCTTTATTTTCTACTTAGTTTCTTTCTGTAATTAAGTGTCAAAAGTAGTAAGGAAAGCTACTATGACAATCCAATTAAAAAAAAACAAAACCCTAAACTAAAGCTGATACAGTTTATCAGCGGCTCATTTTACAATCTTAAAAATGATTGGTGACTCCAGAGCCTTTATATAGGTTATAACTATCAATACCTACTTTGTTACAAGTTAAAACTGGAAACTTCTAAAATATTAAGGAATTTAAAATAATAAACCCATTATGTTAACATTAATAACATTTTAATGAAAAAAATCTATCTTTTCCTAAACAAAAATATTAGTGAGAAAAGCAGCTGTGTAATTTACACTTTCTCCTTAATGCATGGCTTAATAAAAGAGAACTAAATATATGCTTCTGCATTCAATCTGTTATAATGTGTTGTTTTGGTTAAAGCATATGAAGAAAATCTAGCCTCATATAGGTCATAGCTGAAGAAGGAATCTTTCAATAGCCTTTGAAGATGATTGTGAATATTCTTTGGTTCTACATCAAAAGTCAGTAAGTGATAATTTCTTAAAGGTTAACTGCAACACGAAATCTATAACCACCAATGAACTTTTCATACTATGTTACATTAAATCCATTGGTCTATCTTTGCACTCTGAATGGGTCTTTCTTCACCCATGCATGACTTTATAGTTCCATGCATTGGTTCACTGAAAAACATGAATTATCCTGGTCTATCAAGTGTTGACACGTTGCATTAAACAATTAAAAGATACACGTGGTAATATCAACATCAATGTCACCAGGAAAGTCTTTAAGTATTGGGGAGTTATCAAGTTTAAGATGGTGAGTACAAGTTTTCAAAAATTCTAATTTTTACATGAAAGCTTTAATTTTACTATTGGCAACAAATGCAGTCAGCTGTTTTCCTTGAAGCAATAAACTCATTTTGTTCATTTTTATTCAAGAAATGTCTAACAAATGTCTAAGTCTAAAAAAGCTATAGTTTCTATGTTTTTCTTTGAAATAAAAATAGTATTATGTGATAAAAATGTCTAGTTTGGCTTACAATTCAAACATCTGCATGAATACTTTTCCTTGAGGCAATTATCATATTTCAATAGGCTGCAGAAATGCTTTATGTATGTTTCCGATTTTGTCACTCTGTATATGAAAAAGACAGGTACTCAAAGGTTGAGATTTAATAACATTAATAAGGTTTACTATACCATCATGGACACTCTTAAGTGAAAGCGGTTTGTTTTTTTTTTTAAGGCTGAGCTGATGGCGGGGAAAAACTCAATGACTTACTAGTATAGTTTGATACCATTGCCTCAATTCATGATAAGGCACCAGCAACTTTACCCACCATTGCTTCTACATCAGCAGTGCAAAGGTCAACACAATGCAAAAGGCAAATAACATTTTGGTATTACATGAAAATAATTTTGATATTATGGATTCCCAGAGTTCTGCAGGACACTGAGAGCCACTGGTTTAGGTAATTCAAGAAACGTAGAAAAGTCATAGAATAGGAAATATTTCATTGTGCTTCTCAAAAAAGAAACTTAACAGTGACTAGCTTCAGACCCTCCTGCTATTCATAAGGCAAAAGTGAAGATTTTAGAGCATTCTAAAAAAACTACATGCAATTCAAAGAAAAAAAGGGAAACAAGCCTCTGAAAGATGTTACATTTGGTCAAGTGCTTAATTCCAACAACGAAAAATATTTTAGCAAAGAGTTCAAAATGTTCTATTTGGGTCAAAACTGCTTAGGATTATACACATTGCATATTAATATTTATGTCTTACCTTAGCTCTAGAGGAACTGACATTTTCCATATTTTCAATGCTGCAGATACAATTCTGTGAAACTTTCCGGCAAGCCACTCTGATATAGTCCCAGAAGCTACGAGGACTTTCATAACCAAACCAGGTTACTTGACCTTCAGGAGACAAATTGTAATACAAAATAAAAGAAAACTAGACTAGAAAATTCAAAATGCAAGAACAATAAAACTCTGTGGTGTGGTATACTGGAAAGGGCACTGATCCCAATGTCAAAATGCCTTAAATCTAGTCCGGTTCTGCCTTTACCTAGTTGTGTTACTTCAGGTAATTTATTTAATGAGTCTGAATCAGTGTCCTCAACAACAAAATCAAACTAAATGAAGTAAAAAGGGTCTAGACACTAAACAATATCTTGCAGTTTAATATCCTATTATTGTAACATAGTCTTTTAGATATATCACACAGATCATTTTCCTTGTGGTTCTAATGAAGCATTAATTTAAATGTCACCAGTTGTATTCTAAAGCTTTCTCTACTCAGAAAAACAGAAAAAACCCCACCCTTTTTCTCCTCTTCATAGAGATACTTCAAACAAATGAAATAATGTGTAGTCTATCCTATAAGTAAATATAATAAATTAGAATCCTACATTAACTAATCATTCATAATCTTCTACCCAATCATTCTCACTTATAAAGCCATAAAACTCTCCTGTAACTACCATTCATCTGCTCTCTTCTAGTCACCAACCCATAAAAAGTCCTTCAGGCATTTACTATTCTTTCAAATTTGAGTAATTATGTGTCTATTTATGAACAAATGTTCTTTTGTGTATTTCTTATGTTATATTAATATTTCTATGCAGGATTTTTAGTAGATCTATGGGAACCATTTTGTACTTTTAGTATTTTTAAATGGGATATGAAAGACATCTCAATACTTACAATTGTCTGGAATGATTAACCTTATCTAGGAAAGTTGTTTAATCTTAATGTAGAAAGATTAGCTTTTATATTTTTAAATCTATGCTTGTTTGTTTTCAATTATTTATCTCAAACCTTCCTTTCCCCAGTAATAACTCCTCTCTAATCAACATCAAAAAGTGTTCTTGCCAGCAAGTGCCATTTTAATGGAGCAGTGTCGGAAATAATATCTGAGTGGTTTCCAAGCACATCAGCCCGTAAGAGGAACTGGGCTTCTTTTAAAAAATACTCATGCCTGGGTTCCACCAAAACTAAGTGATCAGAATCTTTAAGGGAGAGGCCAGACATTGGTATTTTTAAAAAGATGCCCTTGGTATTTCTAATAATATGATGAATCAACCAATTGAAAGGTCATATATGGTGCTAGGTTACTCCTATAATTCAGGAAATTTTAAAGGCCTCCTCTTCGTGTAAGCCCTGTGTAATCTCTACAGTGAGCCAATCCCTCTCTATGTGCTGGCATAGCACCCTGTGCTTACTTATCCTTATAATTGCCTGTTTACTTGATTGTCTCACATATCAGGTGGTGAAATCACTAAGGCAGAAATTGTGTCTTTAAATTGATCTCTAGCATTGACACAGTGCTTGGTTCACAGTAGGCACTGAATAAATATTTGTTAAACAAGTCAATTGGTAAATCAGCACAAAGCAAATCTTTATTGCAATGCATATAAAAATTTGAATTTAAAAAATCTAATTAGTATATTTTTATAGTGACAGTTCAATGACAAACTGGTATAAAAATGACTCCATGCTAGATTACAAATATCTAATATCCTGAACAAATATACTTACTTTTGTATATGAATAAAAATATAAAAGCATCTACAAATACTTACTCAAATATCTCTTTATCATCAAATACTACTACCAACAGATAGAAATCTATAGGAATATTCATAATCTCCCTTCTTCCTCTCAATCTCTCCCCATCGCTTTCCTTTGTCCCCTCTCCTCTTTAGTTGAAAAAGTTCCTGAAACTTTCTCAATACAGTTTGTCTTTAGGGCAATTTTCATGACATCAATTTGTTAGCCATTCGGAGAGAAGGCAGGATGCCTAGTGGTTAAGCATATGGGATTTTGAGTCTGGTGGATTTGAATTAGATCACTTTCTAGCTATGCAATCTTGAGCAAATCACTTCACTCTGTAAGTCTGAGTTTCTTCTAAAATTGACAATAATTGTAGTACCTACATGATAACACTTACAGATTAGACATGTTATGTGCAACAATTGGTATACAGTCCAGTACAGATGTTAATAATTACTAGTATTGTTATTACTACTGTCATACAAATAGTTAAGGGACCCATGCTCCCCTTGCATCACAAAATGGGAATGAGATACAAACTTAAGTTTTTCCCATCACTTGCTTAGAATCTAGAAAAATCTTTAAAATTTACTCCCTAATCCAACCTTTTCCCATATCGACCATTCTAAATTTGTTTCTCTAAAATGTAACTAGTCTCAGATAATTTTCTTTGGCTTCTATTAATTGGGAACATTCCAAAATTTTAAAAAAGTACAGTTACCAGACTTCCCTCAGGAAACACTGGCAGGGATTTTTTTTTTTAAAGGGAGAATCACAAGGTTTCTCTGGTGACTTTATTTTAAATCTCATGAGTTTGACATGGCTGAGGAAAATTTATGAGAAGTTTTATAGCAGAGCTGTTGAAAACCAAAAGAATATAACAAAGTCCGATTTGGGAGAAGAAACAAAGATATAGAAAAACTAAAAATTGAGAATTGGGTTAAACAGAGAAGGAACGGGCACTAAATCCTTAGGACTCTTTGCTATGTGTAGGATATGCTATCTATAAGACTTTCACCCAAAAGGTAATGAGAAAATTTCCCAGATTACAAAACGAGAAACTAAGCAATTAACAGAATGCCATATTATCATGATTTGCAGGCTCTTAAATAAACCAGTAGTATCTTCGTAACACTTCTCTCTGCTTAACAAACTAGATGTGAGGATGACTTGTCTTGATTCTGCCTTCCTTCCTCTTCTACGTGCACCATTTCCAAAGTGAAGTGAAGTTCTTAAATCAAGACACTGAATTTTTCACATTCTGAAGGATCTGCTTTGATTAAGAGAAGGTGGATTCCCTTGTTAAAACTTCCAAGCAAACTGTCACGTAAATTGTCTGTACATCCTAGAATTCTACTTAAATAATTAAATAATTTCTGCATCTATGAAAAGGGCTGAATTTAATGAAAAATAATAGAAGTATTCGATTGGTTATTTGAGATATTATTACTTGAATATCATGTTTACTTAAACACAGATTAACTGATGGCAAAAGATGTACTTGCACTATTTGTCACCAGTATTCAACAGGAAAATTTAAAAAACAAAGCTACAAGCCGATCATGCCTTTAAAAATAACTACTGAAGTAATAAATAATCATTCCCAAGGTATTCTCATTTCCTTTAAAAATAACCACAAAAGCAAATCACATTACATGAAACTGACTAGTCTGTATCTTGAAGAAATTTTATTCCAGAGAATATGCTGTCATTAACACTTCTCGTTTTAAAGCTCTTGATGAGTATAGGTGTATAATATGCTTTCAATTATATACATTGTTAGAAGTGGACTTTTTACCAATTACAAAGTTAAACAAGCTTTTCAAAAATTATTCCCATTCCATCAATCCAACTCTAATTCATTTTAGGCACAGAAGTAAGTGGTAAAAGTTTGCTGTACTAAAAGGTGATCTGTTACAAACCAGCCATGTGATGTCTTTCCCACTAAACTGCCTCAATTTCAGCACCTAAAAATAGCATGTGATCTCTAGGATCCAATGTTATTCTAAAATTACTCTTCTACATTATTTAAGTTAGACATCTATTCACTTCACATAATACGTTTGTGTTTTGCTTATATCTTATTTTATGGCCAGAATGAAACCTGAGAACAATGACTAAAATTTCTAAAGTGGTTCTCTACTAAGTAGTGGCTAATGACATATCACCTTTTGATACTGTAATATAAAATATAAATGAATCTGTTAAGTGCTTTCCTTTCTTCACCCTTTGTATTAGTGCTCTGCTATATAAAGAGCAAACGAAAAACTGGTCTCACAAGCTGAAGTTCTGTTAGCATTAAAATACATCACCTAGATGACAATACCAAAGAGCTGTTATTCATCTAGACAAGCAAAATAGTCACATCAAATTTTAATAAGTCATTCTAATATCACTGCAAATGTTTTCAGATAAAGGAAATAGATTACATGTGGATATATTGCTGCCAATATATTAATATATATTTAACTTTCCACCTTAAACTTTGTAGCAGCAATCCTAAATTTCTTAATGCTAGTTTATAAAATCGGTTTAATATTTTCCACTATCTCTTTACTAAACAGGGAAAATTCCCATTTCTGTAAGAGATTAGAATCTTCTCCTTCTTAAAAAAAGTAGCATTATTGGTTGAGGTTCATATTTATTTAGATCACTCAGCTTTGAAGGTAAAATTATGACTTAATTTTTAAAATAAATTCTCATATTAATGTTAAAAAAAAACAAATTTAAATACTTAAAAAAATAACTTTACACTTTAAGCTGAATCTTTTATGTGTGTGTGTGTGTGTGTGTGTGTGTGTGTGTTGGCAGCTCATCGACAGCTCAGCTCAAGCCAGGAATTGAACTGGCGACCCTGTTGCTCTGAGCTCGCACTTTTGAGCGAGCTCTTAACCAAATGAGCCACTCAGCCAGCCCCTTAAGCNGGAGAATACAAGAGGGAAAATAATACACAGGAAACTCACTTTTATAAAGGTTCTTTTTCAAATTTTGATGTGTCCCCCCAAAATGGCTGTTACTGTTTACTTTTCAAAGTATACAAGTAGTTGCTTTTTGTATTCTGTCCAGAGTTTTTAGCTGCAATCAGGAGGCGAGTGCTATGGACTGAATTGTGTCTACCCAAAGTCATATATTGAAGTCCTAACACCAATGTGACTGTATTTGGAGATAAGTCTTATAATGAGGTAATTAAGGTTAAATGAGGTCATAAGGGAAGGATTCTGATCTGTTATGATTAGTGTCCTTATAAGAAGGGCCAAAGAGAGCACTTTTTTTCTTTGTCATGTGAGGACACAACAAGAAGGCAACTATCTACAAGCCAGGAAAATAATTCTCACCAGAATCTAAACTAGTCTTGGAGTTCC